AGTTGTATATTAGGCTGAGAAGTGTCGGCTCCATCAGCATGTGTCGTGCTATGAGAAGTGTCGGCTTCATCGACACGTGTCATTCTATGACCTATCCTACGTCTTCGCGTGTACACTTGACCAAAATGACGTGACATGTCCTCACGTCGTTCAAACTTGTTGACATGATTTTTATTGAACATATTTGCTCTTCTTTGTCTAATCCTATTGAAGATCCCTAACACTGTTGGATCCTAAATAACATTAATATGCTCATTTATATCAGCCTCAATCTCATCAAAAGCATTCATCTACGAGTTAATCAATATATACACAACTTAGCAAATAATATCTTGACAAAAAAGAATTATCGTTTTAGTTTAGTTTAAAAACTTACACAATCCCTCTCGATCATGGCATAGTGATGTAACTATCTATCGGTGGGTGTGGTACACATCTAGCTGTTGGCTGTGGGTTGCGTCCTATCCATCTGCGTGTGATATTCCAATACCAACGCATATACGTAATATAACCATCAACTGGAATTCTCTCATTCTGTATGAAATTCCACCTATTATTACATATGTCTATGTAGGCCGCACAGAATATGGCCCAGTCCGTATGATGCGAAGTTATCCGTCGCCTACGATCGATTTGCTCAACAGGATCCGGCACATGCTGAGAAAGAAGAAATTTTTGTAACACACGAACTGGGACATGCATCTCTATAATCTCCCAACATATCAATGAGACTTTAGCTCTCCATAAAGTAGTGCTATCTCTACAGATAGGTGCAAGAGTATGCATATCAAGATCTGGCAGAGAATAGGGTGTCCACTTAAACTGAAATTAAAAAAAATTATCAGCATCTACAGAAAGATTAAAATATAAATAATGAATTGAGTTTTATATTTACCTATTGGTGTTGGAGACCACCAAGCTCATTTCGGTAAAACTCTATATGCCTAGTCGCTATTTTGTATTTAGAGTGTCTCACGTTATACCTATTTGGCATAAAGAATATATAAGAATAAATTCAATATGAATAAAATTTACGCATAATTATATCTGCATCCTAAAGGAAATTGGCCCTGTAGATCGCGGTGCACATGCAATGTAAGTCGTCCAATATGAATGCATTCCCATGACCAAACCTGCAGAAATGTCATGCACCCCTTGAATTCTTTATTTTGCATCAAGGAGACCTTACCTAGTTCTCTATAAATGTATGTCAAGACCACACTACCCCATGATAAAGTGCCGCATACATCAACATCCTCTAGTAGTGGTAGCCATCATGCATGTACAAGATTCTTGCTCGCATCAGAAAATAACATACACCCTATCATGTGTAATATATAAGCACAAGCATAATACTGAATTGTCTCATCCATGACATCAACTGGTATATCTCCATAAATGTTGATTGAAGCCACGATAGCTTCATCGTACCACTCCTCAAATTGGGAACCTGCCCAAGAAGCCTCTCACATACTTCGGCCCAATTATGGTCATCGATGCCCGTAATAACCGGGCAATCAATGTAGAGCCCAATTATAACGGCTACGTCCTGTAATGTAATGTTACACTCCCCTATATGCATATGAAAGGTGTTAGTCTCCGGTCTCCACCTCTCAATCAGGGCATTGATAAGGGCCCAGTCAAGCCTAATATGTCTCACCGATGAACACTCCCAAAACCCGGCCTGAGCTATCAACTGTAGTACTCGATTATCCTCCATCTCCCAGCCCGAGTGACTCTGGGAATGGTCCACTATCCTGATTTTTGCTACGAGCTGCACATCAATCAAAATTAAAAAAATTTATTGAGAAAAATTAAAATTAGTGCCAAAAATAAGAAATATATACAACCTTTTTTGCCTGTCCCAAGCCAATCTTGTGTGAACGATGATCTGTCTGAAGGTATAATACGTCGGGCTGCATCAGTCCCGGATCCATAATGGATATCTCTGAGATTAAAAGATAATACATTAGATTTTTTTTAGTTAAATGACTTAATCATAAGTATTTAATATTCAAAGTTAAGTAAAGAATACATCCAGCATAGAAAAGCAAAATAGGAATAGAACATGCATAACAATTGTCACATATTCAAGATTAAAAATAAAAGGATATATATTATAAAAACCATAAGCGATATATTCCATACAACTAAACCTCAAATAATCAACACCTAAGCCTAGTTGGACAACTGCTTTTGTTGTGGCCCGGTTGATCACACCTAGTACACTTATTTTTCCTCCTAATTCATTCTCGATCGTCATCCATATTATTTCTAATTTGTACGGAATGAGGTCACCTAGCTGATCTTTTATACACAGGAGGTAATATCCGTACCGCGCATTGTGTCCAATGCCGACTATTATATTGTGGACGAAAATGCTAATTGTATGTTTGTTGGTAGGTATAAGTTGAATACCAATCTACAGCGAATATATAATATGAAATCCTCGCACCCTCCTTAGATCCGAACAAGCCACTACAACATGGGAACAATGAAGCCATTGTAATTGTGGTATATTGCAAGTGCATGTAAAAGTTTGATCTACTAGCATATTAACTTTGTAAGAGATATTTTCTCTATGTGATATTCCCTAAACGACATCCTATTCATTAAAATTGTATCTAACGACAAGAAATGATCGAGCCTGCACAATCTGATCCACTAATATGTCTTCAACTTTTAGCATCAACTCCGACGAGATATTTGCTCCAAGTGTGCGTCGTCTGAGGAAGAATTTATTAAGTTTATAAAATATTTTTGCAACTAATGACTGTATTGGCATACCGTGTGCTCCCATAAGCACACAATTGAAACTCTCAAAAGTGTTAGTGGTCATCATAAAAAACCATTTTCCGACATCTTCACATAAGGCCCACCTATTGACATTGTTCGGACCCAAACTAGTCTCGATTCAATCATGTGCAGCTTGTGAAATGGACTTAATCCTCTCCCATAGTTGCTCATAAGCTAATTTCTCCGTTGCACATCCAGCTTGTCAAAGAAGATCTTGAATATGCACTTGTCCATGCTTCCTCTTAAAGTTGACCCTAATATGTCACAAGCAATAGCGGTGTTGATGTGATGACGAAAAATGTCGTTGGAGTACTATTGAAATTCCTTTCATCCTATCAGATATGAATGTAATCGACCACGTTCACACACTAGGGATATGATATCTAATGCATGCAAAAAACCATGCCCAATTTTCTGTGTTTTCAACATCAACTACTGCAAAATGCCAAAGAAAATAAAACATCAACTGCATCTACTCCCGTTACAACAAGCAAAACGCCTTTATATTTACCATACAAGTGGGTGCCGTTAATGCTAAGAAGAGTACGATAATATCTGAATCCCTCAATGCAAGGCCCAAATGCCCAAAATACCCATGTGAATCGTCTATCTCCGTCATCAATAGGATCTGATGAGACTTCATACATTGTCCACAGATTTTTTTTTTAGTCCTTCAAGATAATGTGGTAAGATCTCATAAGATTTATCCTAATCTCTAAATGTTTTTATCATCACCTTCCTCCGAGCATTCCAACACTTGTTGTATGATACATCAAAGTTGGTCGCCTTATGTACTAAAATACGAATATCCTTTGGCCTTAGATCAAGATCCTCCCTTAGTTTATGCATAATCAATCGATATATAAAATAGACGGACGCGTGTTTATGATTCATCTCTAATCGGGGATTGCTACATGTGTGAAGTCCGTTGTAGTGTGTTATTTTAAATTGCCCGCCTACTCTTACCCTAAGCGTGAATTAAGCTTCCAAGGACATTTTACATTTCCATCATGGTGCCCACTACTATCTTCTTCCTCACCATCTTTATGGTAAAAACAAAGTACATTTTAGCTTGTTACATTGCTTTTCATTTGCCTAAACTTGACATTTTTTTGATGGCCCACAAACGAAGAGCATGAATCAATTTCTTCTTGCTTTCAAATTGATCT